ATCTTGTTGTGGCATCAAACTTTATACAGAGTGGTGTTGTATAAAGTATAATGCTTGATTCTCGCAAAATATAACCACAAATAACAGACCAATTTTTATTGTTGAGCCAGAACGGACTTTGAAATGGTAAGATAAGTGAATCTAAAGTAGCGATATCATCGAATTTCTTGCTAGTACAAGTGAAAGAAAATTGAAATTGATTCAGTAAAAGTAATTTCTTTTGAATGAATTGTTCCCAATAAGAACCATCAAATACTGAATCAAATGTCGACCTAGATGCAAACAGTTGCAGATGACCAAGTGATGGTGTCAATGAAAGAAGGCATTCAAGTTCTTGGGTTGATAGTTTGCAGTTACCAATAGTCAATGAAATCAATTGCGGATACACTGTTAAATAAAAACATAGGATATGTAATATTTTAATAGTTGACTTTGTTTCGTTTTGATTTTTTTATCTTCTGACATATTTTAAAGAAACTGAGCCTTACAAGTTATTGGCTCATATGATGGAACTTTCTTTAAGTTGTGTTTAATTTTCTTTCATAAAACAATTTAATAGATAGTCAAAAATTGGGTCTACTTCAATTTTTACTATGTGAACCTGAATTTGATTGAAAATTAAAAATGTTGGAGAATATGATGAACTAGAAAAAGACCAGGTAGAGTTGAGGGAGAGTAAAAATGTTTTTCTTCGATATGTTTACTTTGTAGATTATTTAGGTGAATATTGCTCACTGGTGGCGACTAATTTCGTCGAAAATGGGGATGAAGGCAATATAGATATGCTAAAAATACTTTGAGGACTTTTTTCAATATTTTATATTTCGATATTTTCATTATCTTTAGCATCTATGCAGAAACTTTTCAATTAGAGCTTTTCCGTGTTACTGATTTAGATTTAATAACCAATTCGAATAATAAAATGTGTTTCATACATCGCCTCTTTGGTCAACCTATGATTACTGTATTGCATAAAATAAACTTAGTTTTAATTGAACGAATGATTGATATTCTATATAGAGAATACATGCGTAAGTAACGTAGCCTAATAGATCAAAGTAGAAATCGATAGAATTGTTTTGTTAAGTCACAACTATCCCAAATGGTACTAGCCGTTTGGACTCGTTTAATTGGATCATAACTTGACTGAAAAGATCCACGGGAACAAATTCTTTTAGGCTTATCCAAGTCTCAATGAAATCTCTTTGTGAGCCTAACATAAGCTCAAACGTTAGATATCACTTGGAATATTTCCCTCATTAGTGGTAGTGGTTTCAACCAAAGATTAAATCGTTTCATATTTTTGAAAACTTTAATCGAACCGAAACCATATTGTACTGAACCGATTCAATCCCTAATCTAAACGATCAGATTAGACTGGCATGCATTATTCTACATTTTTTTGATCCTGTAAGACCCAGATCAATTCAACTAGTTATATCTATTCCCTTACCGTTATTATAATGGCTTAAAGAGCCCATTTTACAGTGCGGTACACTATTAGGGAGCGAAAAATTCTATTCAAGAAGTTTTCCGGTCATACTTTGAGTCTAGTCTAAACTTTATATAATAGAAAAGAATTGCTGTCTCTACGACGAAATAGATGATGTATGAAAGATACACATTTAATTCTGTACCTGTGGAATCATTGAATGTACACTGTGTTTTTGTAGAATTGGATGTTGTAACTGTATATGACCAAAACGTTTGATTAATATTGTTCATAATACAGTTTCTAATAACAAGTGTTCTTAAACGGAGTGAATTGCCGAGGATCATACGATATTGGTGATAAGAACAATCTCTGATTGTCAGTTGTTTTAATGTATTTTGAACAGGCCACGCTATTTGATTAGTTGTGTAACTAAGATCATTTAAACGTAGTTTTTGAAGTTTGGTTTGAACGACAAATGAAAAGATATTTGACAAGTCTGTATCATCCGCTCGCCCATACATATTGACTGTCAATGAGACTAGAGAATTAATGGTAACACGCTGAAAAAATTCTTTCATTTGATTGCCGTTGACTTCATAAAGAGTCAATGAACCAAGTCTAGTGAATTGGTTAATGCTGAAGTTTGAGAGAAAAAAATTGATGAACCATTGGTGATAGCTACCGGAAAACATCAGCGAAATGACGTTAAAAGGTTGAACGAGACGAGAAATATTTTTAAAGAAACAATTTCTCAATAAACTGGGGTTGGCAGTTGAACCGAAATTGAGTTGAAAACGATCATAGAAGTTGACAGCTGTATGAAGTTGTCTGCAAACCAAACGGATTGAAAGAACAATGGTGTACGCATCGAGGTGATCAAAGATACGATGCAGAACTTCGACAGGCAAACAGACAAGCGGTGAGTTTGACATTTATCTGAATACTTAGAATGAATTAAAAAGTCCTAGACTAAGCGGTTACTCTATCGGGTATGGGTGTGGGTGAAGAAGCCAACAATGCTCAACCCACACTCTCTGAATTTAAGAAAGTTAGAAATCGAAGAAATGAAGAGTAGGCCGAGAACTCATCGAGAGAGTATGGGTGAGAATATTTTGCTCATATCCACGCCCACACCCTATTACATTCCTTAAGTTCCGTCGATTCTAGTTGGTTTATAGATTCACAAATCACTAAAAGTTCAGAACTTGCACAGATCTCTTTTTTACCAATGATTTAAATTTGAAACTTACCCAAATGGAACTATTTAAATCAAATGATTTGAAAAAATTCTAATAGTTTGTAAATTTCAGATGGTACTGTGTGTGACTGAAATTTCTTTTCGCGGAATGATTCTTTTCGTTTCTTTTATAAAGTAAAAACAGTTGTGGGTTTTTTTTCTTTTTTTTCCAACTGCTCATTGTATTGCGAAAGAAACTGTGAAGATTGAGAAAAAAAACCCATTGACGGTCCACAATACACAAGAAATGTTATTAGAAAGAAAGAGAAAAAGAATTCATATGAAATGTATTAGATTCAAGTGCTGTGCAATTAAACATTGTTGATATAAAACTGTAGTCTTCTTAGTGAAAAAGAAATATCTCTTCGAAATACAAACAAAAATATCTGATGCAATTGAGGAAATTATGTTATTTGTCTAAATGTATTGGTAGGCAGAACATTTGAGGGTAGGTGGGTGTGGGTATTCTATTCATTTCAAACCTAGGACTACACCCTCAAATAATTCTAATTTTTTGTGTTTGATTATTTATCAATAATTAATCTTATAATTGTCAAAATTTATTTTTCTATTTGCTAATATCAATTGGAAGAGATCGTCAGATATTATAAAACAAAAGCATTGCATTCTCCAACCTGTCAATGTCTCTTCGATCGATTTCAAGCAATTGAATGCTTTTCATACATATGATATGACGATAAAACAATGCTTACAGAAAATCTTGCGCACATCGGACAAGCCGATTCGTTCACTTAGTGAACATTCTTAGATACAAGCAGAATGAATTTCGTCCGATAGTATAACTTAAATATATTATTGAATCGATGTCATTGTCTTTTCAGACGAATAGGGTGTAGATAATATTTAAATATGATACCGACACCCACACCCTCAAGAGTTTAGCGATTCTCAGATGCAGTGTAATTGGATTCGGTATGCAATCACTTCGTGATTGATGTGCAAAGAGGATCTTCACGATCGTAACCGCCGTACTGATAAAAAAGGCTGCTGCAGTCGCTCGTTATGGCTAGAGCAATTCTCTGAAGTATACACGTTGCTGTCAACACAAATCGCTGGCTGCCTAATGGGTGTTGAACAGTTGCATATTGTCTCTGTTAGGCACAGATTAACTGTCGGATTGTAGTATAAAGTATTCAACAGGATTCTCGGATCGAATGTAACTGCATTTTTACTCGTCCGACGAGATCCGATCAGTGAGTTTGCCTTGGGAATTTTCACCCACCATCACTCTCAAAATAATTCCCTTGTTTTGAAAAGAGAAGAGAGACAACACATTTTAATGTGTTGTATTTCTTCGAAAAAAAGCCAACCGGGAAAAAAATCATTAAAATGTTTGTTGAGTGAATATCTTGAAAAAGAAACAATAACAACAGAAAGAAAAAAAACGTGGGTTATTATTCGTCTGGCACAAGAAAGCAGCCACCCAGTAATGAATGTTCTCATAAAGTTAGTACGACTTCTTGGTATGAGTATTCAGACTGTTCAATCGGGTACTAGCTTTAGAGAGATTTTTTAGAAAAATACTATGCAGTTACAAAATACAGAAATTTTCATTTTTATAAATCTATTGATTGCTGTTCGAAAGAAGACAACCACATTAAGAACAGGATGAAAAAATTCCCATTCAAGCTTGTATATGATGCATTGTGTTAGTTAAAAATGAAATGTAAATATTGTGAGAGTGTTGTGCAGAATTGTACAGGTAAATGAGAGCATATAAATTGATGCACATGGCGCATATTCAATCACATATTACAAGAAGAATAGCGAAACAGTAGCAGGTGAGTAACAAGGGCAAGGTAAGAATGCATTTAAACGCCGTTCGCACTTGCGTATCTTTTTTCTTAAGGTGATTGATATCGATTCTTAAGCGTCAAAACGTATTCATATTCTTGATCTTCTTTTCATAGAAACATGTGTGAGTACCAAATAACAAAGGATCTAATTCTTCACTTTTCTTTCCCTTATATTAGCCGAAATGATTGATTGGGTGGAAGATGAAGCAGAGGCAGGTGTCGGCTATATAGCTGATGAAGCAGAAACGGTTGTCGACGATGGGGTTGATTATGTAGTTCAAGAAGCAGACGCGGATGTCGACGGTTTGATGGCTCCGTCCTTTTTCGTCCTCCCATTTCCGGACATCCGGTCGAGTA